CGTTTCCTTCTATCATAAAGGTCCCAAGCCAGGTCAGGTGTAGCAGGAAGAGGAAGAGAGGGAGTTCTTTTTACCAGCTCATGTAGTTCAAGAGAGTGTACACTTCCCATTAAAAGAAATGTAATCACACACAGGCAATTAAAACCCAAGTACACCTGTCTTATCAAATACAAACATAGCCACGTAACCAGAGGCACGTCCTCAAATGCCTCCAGCAGATGGCGCTCTAGGACACCTGCTTAGGGAGACTCACACTGTGTTCCACCCACTGATGGTGGCCAGACAAAAGAATAAGGTTTATCAGTAGCTTTGGTAAAGCATGCTAGGCATGACAACAAAAAGGACATAATTCCTAAGGATGTGCACACAAAAATATACATATGCATAAGCACACGTGCACAGAGGCGACCAGTACATAATTCACACGTGGACACATTAGGACGCCGCTCTTCTTGGAGGGTTGATGAGTAGTCTATGCATCTATCAGTGGTATTTATGGTCATATGGTAAGATCATTCTAAATTCATTAAGAAAAAATTTAGAATACCTTAAAGTTAGAACTCATTTGTAATTACAGCAGGAACGTCTCATTAGTGTGATAGTACTAAAATTAACAACAGTAGGATTTCTGGTAATGACTCCTGTGATTGATGAGAGTCTAACAAAATGAAGTTTGAGACCGAGAAAAAGCAGGGCAGCTACGGCATACAGTACTTTAAAACCAGCTGTGGGTCTGTTCACGCTAGCCGCATGGTTCATAAAACCTTCTTTCTAATTAACGGTGCTGAAATATTCTTCGAGAACAGAATCTTGTTGTTAAGGGGGGGAAAAAAGCCCCAAACTTAAATAGTTGTTTTTCCCCCCAAGTAGACGCCATGCCCATAAAGGGACAAGCTGACATAGATTACCATGTCTGATTGCAAAGACGGGGGAGGTGGGGGGAAATGCCACCTTTCAATCAAATCAAAACCAGAATGTGAGAATGGAAAACTACTTTATTGAAACACTACACACACAAATCCAGGCAACACCCTCCCAGTCAGCGGCTGTTTGTGTCTAAAGATCATCAACTGGGCTTTTAAAAAATTACTGAGATTTTCTAAAATTAAAAAAAATACCCAGTACACTCGTAGCCTTTAAATGCTATATTTATGATCTGTTGCTACGACCTAAAAAATAGCAACTAAATAATGACTCTTTGGACGGTCTCATCCTGCCTGTATAATAAAGGTAATTTCAACGTTTAAAATATTTGAAGGTCAATTGAACATTGGGGAACATTTTCTCCCCACATTGGAAATGTGTGGTCTGGACAGCATCACGAGTATTTGAAAGAAAAACACGTATCTCAGGAAAAGCACTGTGGCGGCGGGAGTCAGTTCCACGACACAAAGAGCACCGAGGCCCGAGATGCTGCCCCTCCGCGCAGAAAACACCTCTCCTGGAACTGTTCTGGGGTGATTTTATAAAACATCCACAAATCAGTGGGCTCCTATTTTAAACTGTCCTCTCGTTGAGAAAATGACATTCCTCGGAAGATAAGGCTCTCGCGACAATAGAGTCGAAGAGGAGGCACTGTCTGTGTGGAAGCAAACAGGGCGCTGCCAAACAATCTAGGCAGATTTCATGAAACTCCCGTGTCTGCTTAGAAGCCTCAGATTAAACTACGCCTGGGTTTGTCCAAGTTGCCTCAGCCTGACTTTGTTTAAGCAATATGTATACGAATACTGGCTAACGTGATTTCCCCCCCTTTTAAATAGCAATCAGGTTTGCACACACTACCAGTGCTGTATTAAGAGGAAAAAGGTGTAAGTTTATGGACCTTGTAAGCAAAATGATTAGCTATTTTCCTGATTTTTAAAATAAAATAACCGAATACCTGAATGAGACATACAAACCGCAGAAAAGGCACTGGCCTGGTTTTCCCTCACATGCCTATTTTTACGTAGAGAAAGCAAAGCACTCCAAATTATTCACACAAAACTGAAGTTGAGGCATTTGGTGCACGTAGAGGCCACAGTGCAGTCAGATGGATCCGAGAGCCCCAGCGCCTCGTCCAGCCCTTTTGTCTGGCAGCCACGAGGAGCACGGGCGAGAGCCAAGCACAACCCACAGCCCCTCACGTGAAACGCTCCAACTTCGGCGGCTGCCTGGTGCAGCCGTCCCCGAGCCAGAGGCTGATAAAATCCGAAGCAAACACAGTGCGCACGCAGTGGTAAAAATGCCCAAGCTTTTGTTTGTGATTTTATTTTGCAAAGCCTAGACTGGCTGGGTCATCGCCTGCCCACCCCGCCACTCTAATGTGTGTAACTTCTCCTTCTATGAAAATGTGCCTCTTTGTCTTTCTCCCAGATTCGTCCTTCACAGATAAAGCTATCTTCAATTGGGATATCAGACGTTACAAAGGGGCCAGAAATGAGTGGGGTTCACTTGGAGGGAGCGGATTTCATTTCGTCAAGAGACAGGACAATTCTCTTAACATTTTCTTTGGAGGCGCCGTGGTGGCCACCTTTATTATTTAATTCTTTTTCTTCCTATTGCCAACACCAGTAGGAGTCAATGTCCAGCCCAATGCAGACAATGAGAGGATACAGACGAAGTGCTTTATAAAAAGTACAATGTAATAATGTACACTCTCATGCCAACAAGATGGGGCTTGCATGTGATTTATTTGCTAGAAGCATCCTGTGCTTCTGATAACACTTTGAGTCAGTTACTGTTCCTACGATCATTTTTCAGACAAGACGGAAGGAGCAACACTTACAATTTAGATGATTTTTACTCCGAACCCCAGGGTTTTCCAGTGCTACTGCTGCATTTTTTATTTGATTTTTCAGGAAAATGCAGGCAAAAACAATCTCTGCAAAGCTGATCTGTAGGCTACACACACACACACACACATTTCTATTTGCAGAAAAAAATTCTAACTTTAAACTAAACTTAATTCTGAAATGCAACAGCAATTACACACAAGTAGAGTAAGGTGACCAGACGTCCTGCTTTTGGCAGGACAGTCCCAATTAAAAAAAATTTTTCCCATATCCCGCGGCATTTTTAAAAAGTCCTGATTTTTGGAAAGAATGCACGACAAGCTAGGGTATACGGTTTGCGGCTGCCGTGTGGCTATTTCACCAAGACATGAGTTTTATCAATGGTGTCCCGCTTTTGTCCCGCTTTACCAATGTTAAAATCTGGTCACCTTAAGTAGCGTGCTGTGCCTTGAGCTAGACCTCAGAGGCCACACTGGGACGCCGTGTGGAAAGAAGTGGAGAGCATGACTGGGTCAACAAGTACAGAAGGTAAATATCTAGGTTTTTTGTCTAGGTTTTTTGTTGTTAGTAGTGCTACAGGTATGTGAAACTTCTTCCATTATGTCTAGACAGCTTATGTCTACACACACACACACACACACACACACACACACACTTCCTCAATCATTGGAGCTAAATCACAAAATGGTAGCTTTTTTATCTATGTCAAACATAGATTTGCCTGAGACAATTCAGTGAATCTCAGGATTTAGATTCCCTGAACCAGGGGAAAAAAAGAGTAGTCACACATGCTAAAAAGTCAGAAAGGAAATGTAGCCAGAATGTAAGAAACCATAATAAAAGAATGTAAAGTTCTTTTCAAAGGATGTCAAAATTTAAGACTCTGAACTTCATTTCTTTTAAAATGTTACTGCAATTACCCTCAGAGGTACTTATGTATGTATAGATCTATGAAAGGCAGACGCACACACTGAAACCTGAACTTATGACAGAGACCATATTATATGGAGTATCCACCTTAAAATGATACTTCAAATTTGATTACTGTAGGGGATTATCTATTTTGATTAAAATAAGAAACATAAATTACTGTCACTGAATAAAATTTTGCTAACCCACCACACTGAGCAAAGTCTACCTTTATATATGTAAGCAGAAAGTTTTGAAAAATACTTTGCACATACTTCTTTTTACATTATACTTACATTTATGTAAATTAAAAAAGATTTTACTTTCATACTAATATAATACATTATGCTTAGCTTTAAAAAAATCAACCCAAAATATGCTGGCCACAAACAGATTTAAACTGTTTCATAATTCTGGATTGTGTGACAGAAGTACCATACAAGATCAGCCTTCCTTAACTAAATACAATGCAACTTGCTTTAAACTAAGGAACTGTAAATATTTACGAGCAGTTAAAATGTTCTACTTCGTGAAGTAAAAATCTAAAGCTATTCTTGCAAGAACCCTTCAGTGTTGTCATAATCATTTTAATTAAATTCTCATTTTTCAGGTGGTCCCTTTAATTGTTTTTTCCTACTTCTTAATGTGTTTTTCTAAAGCCATTTCTTTTCTGCAGCTGTGTGCGATTGGTTTTAATGGTAGCAACTTCCTTTTTTGCCTTCTGTGAATTACAATTTTAAATGGTTGCACATTTTTTGCTTTACGGCCTTCAGCATAGTTTCATAAAGATGGTTAAGGCTGTTGGTGAACATTTTCTTTTCCCATCTGAAAAACCAAGAGCCAATTTGAATATTCCATATTGGCCTTTTATGACCTGTTTTATCTTTTAATATGCAGATGAAAGCATATTTTTGGAAAGACTGGTTTCCATGAAATCATAATTTTTACTTTGTGCCTTTAAAATATGAATTTAATAAATGAGATAATATGTGATTGCTCTTTTACCTTATAGTTATTATTCAGGAATGAAACACCTTTACTTTATTTAGTGACAGCCATTTCCAATGAAGAAGCAGCATTTTCAGACTATAAAAAATGACTCCATCAGCAATGAGGGGATTCCACGCTCAGATTTTCGTTATCAACGGTCCCAAAACGTTAATAGCAAGGCGATGTAGTTGCTCCTTAAATTATAGCTAAGAAATTAAATGCACGTGCAAATTCTGGCCCACCGTCGTCATCTTACAAAAGATAACTTCAGAGGCAAGTGCTATTACGTGCCGCTGGTAGAGGCTGACTCACAAACTATGTCCTACTTACCGCCCGGGTTATCTCCAATCCCGCTGCTCTTTCCATTCCAGTACCACAGGAGGAGGGTGGCATCACGGGATCCCGAGAGAACGTAGCAATTCCCACCAATGTACGACTCAGAGCGGGTGAGGCACGTGACAACGTCCCAATGGCCGAACACCACTTGGATCAGTTTTCCTGTAACATAAACAATTCTCTTTAAGATTGCTATCAAAAGAGCCAACTGTCCAGTGACCGGTTAACTAATAAAACAATAAGGCTTTAAAAACTCAGATTTGATAGTAATTTGAGTTGGTCAAACCTAAACATTTCCTTGGATACTGAACGATGAAAGAGCAATTGAACTGTGAAAATAATGTTTTTGAAAGGCACATGTTAAAACGACGTAGAGTGTTTGAGGGCATGCTAACATCCGGCCATAAAGAGCAACTACAAATGAATAACAAATCACAGCGGTGACTCAAGCAGGCCCCGGAACATCGCTTCTTGGGAATCACCTTCAAAGTTTCCAGTCGCTGCATACGATTCAAAAGCGAAACAAAACCTGAAAAACTACTCTCCAGGCCACACTCCATGAACGCACACCCGTCTCTGACTTCACGACGGGGAATCTGTTGCAGGTACCTATTTATCTATCAAGTGGTCGGCACAGGTGGGAAACGACCAAGTGCTTGCCTGCTGAAAGGAAGATGGTTTCAGCACAAGCCCGGGCTCCTTGGGGGCAAGACCCCCACCATGACAGCTGAGAACCCCCCAGGAGGCAGCTCTGTGAGTCCCCAGATCCACCTGACACCCTCAACACACCAGGATGAGAGGTGTCATTTTGGAGGCTCTCCATTCGCAAATCAGGTTTCCATGACGCAAGTTTGTAATAAAAGGACTCATTATTGCAATTGAAATTTGAGCCATGTCATTCTTCCTTTGTGTTAATTGTCTCCTGGGGGCGGGTGATGATGAAGCCAAGCTCCGGGCACCTTAGCTGAGAGTAATGAGTGTGGCCCAGTGAGGATGACGAGCCTAGTGGACTTGTGTCTGGGGCTCCGAGCATAGCCAGAATTGTTCATATAAAGGTGTCTGAAAAAAAAAAAAAAAGCAAAGCCCTCACGTACCTTTCAGAGATGGCATTTGTAATTCATGCAAACTTTTATAAGGACTTAAGTAGCTGTAGCCGGCCCTTCATTGCATCCAGCTAGCATTTCTTTTGAAAACAATGTTAACAGAATACATGAGTGAATATGTCAAAGAATAGAAGCCCTTATAATATTCAGCATAAGGGTCTTTAAAAAAAAAAAAAAGCTTCGGTGGGGGTCATAAAAGTGTAATTCCAATGTTCAAGAAAAAAAGACCACTAAATTGAAGAGAAAGAATGGGTATGTCTAGTAGAATATGTCTACAATGCATGTATGTTTAACATTATAACCAGGTGCCCTTAGCCCATTCTGACTCATGGTGACCCCACTCGAGTCGGAGTAGAACTGTCTCCCATGGGGTCTCCAATGGCTGAGCTTCTGGAAGGAGGTCTCCAGGCCTTTCTTCCGAGGTGCTTCTAGGTGCATTTGAACTGCCAATGTTTGAAGTGAGCAGCTGATTGAGTTAACCACTTGCATCACTCCTTGTCTATTCTAAGGCTCAGCCCTCAAGTAAGTTTTGGTCTCTAAATGCATTTAGATTTTCAATATGACAATACACATTATGAAGGAAGTAGTTTTTCTTTTAATTTCTTGATTTAAAAATCCAATAAGGGTTTCTTAGGTTAGGCATGCAAATTTAGACGTAAGATGTGCCTACGTACAAAGCAGATGAAGAATCGAATCCAGTGTTTTCACGCATGCGGAGCAATCTGACGCATGTAAAGCTACCACTCATGGCCATCGACGCAGAGCCACCCCAGAGGACAGGGTGGCACCACCCCTGTGGGTTTCTGAGACTGCCACTCTTCACAGGAGTAGAGAGCCATCTGTCCCACAGTGACTGCTAGCAGCCCAAGCACCACCACCACGCTACCAGGACTCCTTAGAGCTGCTAGTAGTGGTAAAATCAGATTTGTTTAAATTTCTAACTGCAAAATGAATTACATTTTTTCATCCGTGACTAAGAGGGAGAAAAACTTCAAAGGAGATACTTTAACTGTTAAATGTTCAAAGCATTCACTTCTAAAACATTTTAAACCTTTTAAATCAAATCAATATCTGTCACTTAGAAATCATCTTATATAAATAAATAAAGACTATGTAGAATAAAGTGAGGGCATTCTCAAAAAATAAGGTAAAATTGAAAATAAAATTAGATATAAAATGTAATAACTTTTACTTCATATCCTATTTACACAAAGAAGAATATGATGCAGTCTCTTGGTAAAATACGTGTCCCTAGGCAGCACAAATGGTGACGTGGTTGACTTACTAATGGGAAGGTTGGAGCTAAAGCCCAGCTAGAGCTGCCTAGGGAACCTTGGTGGTGCGGAGGTTAAGCACTGGGCTGCTAAATGCAAGCTCAGTGGTTCAAACCCACCAGCTGCTCAGAGACCGATCCTATAAAGATTTACAGTCTCTGAAACCCTGCATATTGGGTAGCTATGAAGTGGAATCAATGCGATGGCAGTGGGTTTTGTTTAGCGTTTGACTCAGGTGACTCAGAAGAAAGGCTTGGTGATCTACTTCCCCAAATACTCAGCCATGAAAACCCTGTGGAGCACGGCTCTACTCTGACCCGTGGGGGATGGGGTGCCACAGGCAGAGTAGACTCAACAACTGACAGAGGAGACGGAAAATGCCCACCCACTCAGTGCCATCAAGGCAATTGTGACCCACAGCGACCCTGCTGGACAGGCTAGAACTGTCCCCCTGGGCTTCTGATACGGTTAACTTTTTATGGACGTAGAAAGCCTCATCTTTCTCCCTTGGAGCAGCTAGTGCTTTCAAACTGCTGACCTTGCAGTTAGCAGCCGAATGCATAAACACTACACCATTCTGGCTCCTTTTGATAGAGAAGCCAGCCTTATCCATAGGACAAGGCAACAGTTAGGTAGCAGAACACACTCCTATTAATCACTAGCAACCCGAAGGTTAAATCGATGTATGGTAACTACTGAAAGCAGCTGTGATGGTGTTTCTGATCACAGTGTACCCATAAGCACTGTGATTCCTGCCTCAGCCTAGACCTAAATGCTGAAAGCATAGAAACTGCAGGAGTGCTTTGAGCAAGTTATTCAGGGTAGGCTTATGTATGCTTTGAAACTCATCACCGTCTGAAGACAAAGCGGGTAAATAAGCAAATGTGGTGAAGAAAGCTGATGGTGCCTGGCTATCAAAACAGCAT